TCAGTGGTTCTCAGCCTGTGGGTTGCGATCCCTTTGGCGGTCAAATGGCCCTTTCACAGGGGTCGCCTAAGTACATCCTGCATATCAGATATTTACATGACGATTCATAATAGTAGCAACATTACAGTTATGAAGTAGCAACGAAAATAACTTTATGGTTGGGGGTCGCCACAACATGAGGAACTGTATGAAAGGGTCGGGGCATTAGGAAGGTTGAGAACCACTGACTTAGCTTATTTGGTTCAGGTAGGGGCAGGCAGAGAAAGCGCCCAGCCCAGCACAAAGGGGAGATGAGATGGGCGCAGAACACTGACGCGCCCACCCCGCCCACTCATAGGGCCCCGCACTGCCCGCGCCCCGCCTTCCGTTCCGAATAGACCAATCAGCGGGCGAGCTGCCCAGTGACGCGATCTCCTCGCGACGACATGGCTGGCGGCGGCGTTTCCTGGTGACAGCCGGGCGCCGGGCTATGGGCAGCCAGGAGGTGCTGGGCCAGGCGGCCCGGCTGGCCTCCTCGGGTCTCCTCCTGCAGGTACACTCTGCCGGCCGCCCCCGCGCCGTCCCGCCACCGGGGTCCGCGGGGAGCCGCCTGCGGGCTGGCTCAGCCCCGCTGCCGAGGGGCTGGACAGGAGGAGGTGGCGGCGGAGGTGGGGCTCCTGGGCCCGGAGTTGGGAGCCGGCGTTCCGAGTCGTGGCTGGGAGGTGGCCAACAAGCCACGTTCGTTTTGAGAATTGCAGTTATTTCCCGTAGAGCAGCAAGAGAGAGAGCAGGTGGCGGGGGTGTTTGTGGTGCTGTGTAATCTCATGTATTTTAAGGCAAGGGGTTCATCTTCTCCATGCTCCACCCCTCACCCTCAAACACATGCCTCAAATTCCCTGACTCCCACTGAGTTCAGAGAGACTGTATGGCATCTGGGCTCAGGCAGGCCCTGGATTGAAATCCTGGTTCTGCCAAGTTCTTGCTGAATGAGCCAGGGCAAGTGACTTCACCTACTAAGCCTCAGCTCCTCATTTGGAAAATGGGGGTTATAATAGTAATAATAACAACAACAACAATAGTACCTAGCCCATAGGTTGCTGCTAGGCTAGATTGAAGTTATTTGTATAATTGCTTCGCATGCCCTTAGTAAATCTTGGGGTGTCTTCCTTCTCCCTATGTGACCTGGAACCAATCATTTCCTCTTGGTCCTAATATTCATCATCTGTCAGATAGCATACATGCCGGTTGGCCCAAAGGATATCTAAAGGTTTGTTAAAACCTAGGAGCTGGTCCTTTTAAGTCAAGTGGCTCCATTTCTCTGTGTTGCACTCTTGAGCCATTCAATCCTGTCTCACCAAAGTCCTGAATCCACCCTCCCCCTTATTTTAGAGTCGATGTTTCCCGTGGAGGCTGGGAGAAGGAACCAGGCAGCCTTGGGCTGAAGTTTGGGTCTTGTCACTTGCTGGAGGCCCACCCTTGGGAAGTTTGCTTGGCTTCTCCAAGCATCAGTTTCTTCATCTTAAACGAGAACAATAATGCAACCTCATACGGTCATTAGGGAGATTAGGTGAACTGCCAGGTGTATGCCTAGCACATTATAAGTACTTAATAACTTAATTATTTTTGTTATGGTTTAGAATTTTTTTAAATGGACATAGTGACTTTGGGCAAGTCAACTTTGCTCTGAGTCTTAATTTGCTTCCTGTGCATTTATTCACTCAGTTTTAAGGGTCAAATAATGAACAGGGATGAAAGAGCTTTTTTAAAACTGTAAAGTCCTTTACAAAGTGAAGACTTACTAATAAGGGCCTGTATGTGGAGGAAATACTGGGTAGCATGAGCAACCTTAGAGCTTCATTAGCTCAAACTTTTGTTCACTTAAGAGATAGGGAAAAGCCTGAGGCACTAGGTTTCTTAGACAAGGATAATGAAGTTATATAAACATGTGTAGGTGGTTTTTAAAAAATAGCCAAAATCTTTAGATACCTGAGTGTTTTAATTCAGTCTGGTATGTTTTTTCAATTTACAATGCATACACTTGAGGTAGCCTTGCAATTATATTGTAAACCTGCAAGAATGTGAGTTTATTCTCTGTCATAACTCTGAGCTGGCCATAGTGAAAGTATTAATGCCTTTTATTTGTATGCATTTTTCAAAAATGCTTTTACCTACACAATCTTGTTTAATCCTTGTTATCAATCCTATGAGAAAGGCATCGTCTGACAGAGAAGGAAATTGAGGCTTATAAACATTAGAGCAGTGGTTCTCAACCTTCCTAATTCCGCGACCCTTTAATACAGTTCCTCATGTTGTGGTGACCCCCAATTCATTGTTACAAATTGAACATAATTAAAGCATAGTGATTAATCACAAAAACAATATGTAATTATATATGTGTTTTCCGATGGTCTTAGGCGATCCCTGTGAAAGGGTCATTCCACCCCCAACAGGGTCGCAACCCACAGGTTGAGAACCGCTGAATTAGAGGATGATGGGGCGAACAGTGAAATGGTGACTTGAGATTTTCAGCTGAATGCTTTTTTCCATTAACAGCTCTGAATTGGCTTCAAACCTCTAAAATGGAGTACAGAATTTGGTGTGTGTATGTACTTACAGGGGTGGGCAAAAATAGGTGTACAGTTGTACTACAAATAAGTCATGCAATAATTAATAAATAATAATACAGGAATAAACTCTTGTGGACTCACAACTGTAAACCTACTTTTGTCCACCCTGTATGAACCTGCATGTTTCTAAGGAGAGCTTTCAGCAGACTCACAAAAGGTCACATTTGACTTCACAAATGTTAAGATTGTGATATCCGCTTTGGAGACCTTGCTGCTCTGTGGCACTCGAGGGGCAGTGTTGAATTGCACTCTCCCTTTTAGGCCTTACCGCTCCCCGGGGGTTTTCAGAATTTAGCAGCTCGTTGGCATACCTGGATTTACTAAGACTGCAGCTGTGCATGGGTAACTCAGAGTGCCTGACAGAGAAGTGATTTGCCTTTTGGGCTCAAATGCACTTGAGTTACACCTGTGGTGCTGCTGGGACACAGAGGAAGAGTCAGTGAGTGAGGCCGACACCCCAGCCGCATCCCCATTTAGTAACCTCGTTTAACTGCAGCCTGTTCTTCTCTGTCTCAAGGGAATAATTCTTTACTACGGGGGTTTTCTTGAACTGATATAGTCCTTCCAAATGGCATTAGCTAGCTAGACTCTGTCTCTCCCAACCACCCCTCCCCCTTTTAAAATATCTTATTGCAGTTGTCATTTAAAAGGTATTTTAACTCCTCTCTGCAAGGTGGCAAACAGTCAGTAAATAAATACATTCTTTTCTGTTTTCTAATTGAAAACTGAAGTTCAAAGGGATTAAATGTCATTATCAGAATCCCCAGATACTAGTAGGCAGAGAAGAAAGAGCAATTAGACACCATGATTACTAGCGAGTCTGCTCTACCCTGCAGGCTCCCACTAGCAAAGTGCTTGCTATTTCTAAACAGGCTGGAAGGAGGGGCAATGGGAAGCACTAACTGAAGTTCTCTTTCTGCCTCCTGGAGTGCCCGACTCGGAACCCAGAGAAAGTCCCTGAGTCTGTAGGGGCCGTCCTCTTCTCATCAGGAAGTTCGGGTTTACTGATGGGTCCTTTGACCACTGCCCAGTCGCGTCAAGAGACGCCAAGGAATGGCATTTTGAGAAGAAATGCAGACAGGTTGAGTGTTTTAGAAAGCGTCTCCATGGCAAGGCCGCTGTGTGTCATGACGTTAGGAAGAACAGCCACATTGTTGTCATTTCAGCAAAGTAAACACTCCCAGCATAATTTATTCTTAGGTCTTTTTCTTCTTTTTCTGTAGGTGTTGTTTCGATTCATCACCTTTGCCTTGAATGCGTTTATTCTTCGCTTTCTGTCCAAGGAAATCGTTGGCATAGTGAACGTAAGGTAAGAAGGGCTGCGCCCTGGCACTGTCCATAGCTCACATCCCTCGTCAGGTTTTCCTCTGTGCCTGCGTGTCACCCTCGGGTTTTAGAGGCAAGGAAGTTTACTGGAGTCACCGCGTGTTAGCAGCGGCTGTGGAGGAGCATGCTGCTGGGGGAATGAGCGGGGGATGTTGTTCTTAATGGACCCATGGAGTGTTTTCCATTAGCAGCCTCCGAATGCACATTTCCCAGCCAGCTTTTTCCTGTTTGCCTGCTCTCAGAGCCCAGGATAGGAGTGGGAGTAATTCTCTGCAAACCCCTTCTCAGGTATAATTCTGTGTTCTTGTGCTGACGGCAAAGGAGGGAGGCATCCTCCAGATCGTGAGGATGTGCTTTGTAATCAGCCAGCTGCCTTCCTCCCCTCGGTGGTTATGTTCTCTCTGGGTGACTTGTTCAGTGGAAAATGGTCGCTGGAATAAGGGCTTGAGTCCTTGTCATTAGTTCCATGGTGGCTCTTAGCTGACTGGCTTCATCTTTTAGACTCTGTGTTTCTTCCTGTCTCCTCCTTTCTCTTCGAGGACACCCCACACATATTCTGTATTCACAAATGACACAAAAGGATCTGAAGGGATGTGAGTGTGCGGAATAGCTCAGCTTCTCAGGTGTGTCTTCATGTCCTGATAAACAAGACAGTATGTTCCAGACAGCTCCTCAGGTGATTTGGAAGTCGGGACCATACTTTGAGAAATACGATTTTAAAAGCAGGAAGGAAAAGACCAAATCCTCTGAGGGTGCTCAGACTTGAAAGCAGTTTGGGTCTCTCCCCGTCTGTTCTCCTCCAGGTTGGCAGGTCCCTGCTTGTATAGCCCTTGTCTGGCCTGCCCCCTGCTTAACGTATGGTTATCTCCTCATCCGCAGTGTTGGACAGAAGCACTGGGGACAGTGGTTCTCAACCTTCTGGCCCTTTAAATACAGTTCCTCATGTTGTGACCCAACCATAAAATTATTTTCGTTGCTACTTCATAACTGTAATGTTGCTACTGTTATGAATCATAATGTAAATATCTGATATGCAGGATGGTCTTAGGCGACCCCTGTGAAAGGGTCGTTCAACCGCCAAAGGGGTTGCGACCCAAAGGTTGAGAACCGCTGACTGGGGAGCAGGATGGTCCTTGGTCAACCTCAGAAACTGTAGCCCTGGGCCATCCCCACTCAGGCTTCATCTGGGCCACGGCCTGTTGAGGAAGGGAAGCCTCAGCTACTCCTCACTGAGGTGCAGGAGGGTCACCTTGGTGCTGCCAGCCTAGCAGGTACACAGGCAAGCTTGGGTTGCAGCGGCCTCTGCCGTGGCTGCCAGCCTCTTTGCCTGTCCTGAGATTCTTGGCCAGAGCCTCCACTCGGTAGAGCCTCAGCTTCTCTAACAAGGGCCGTTGGGTCCCCAGTCTCAGAGTGACCGAGAGGTCCCCTTGCTGGGTGGGGTCATATCTTGTCCTTTTCCTTATGGTCAGAGAGCCTGCAGGCTTTGGAGGCCACTGTGGCCGTTTCTCCCCAGGCATAACCTTGCAGGCACACACTCGCTGCTCCGGAATTGGATCCTAACATTGTTTGAGTGGATTAGACAGTGAGGAGTCCTGTGGAACCTGCCTTCCACATCACCACCAGTGATTTGTGACCAAAGCTTTTTTCATCCCAGTTGCTGGTAAAATCTCAGACATTCTCTCCATAAAAAAGCTAGAGACCTTCTTACTATCGGCTTTCCCTTTACAGGCTAACGCTGCTTTACTCGACCACCATCTTCCTGGCCAGAGAGGCCTTCCGGAGAGCATGTCTGAGTGGGAGCACCCAGCGAGACTGGGGCCAGACCATCAACCTCCTGTGGCTGACGTGAGTTGTGCTTTGCTTGTCAGGAGACAGTTTCAAAGGCAAAGGTAACAAATATTACAAGTTCAACAGCAACAGTTTAACGGTTAAACAGCCCACAGCCTTGCTTTTGCAGTGGGTTTCTGGGGACTTGGCATGGGCTGTTTTCCTTCCGGTGGCCCGGAGCCAGGAGGCGGCTCCAGGTGGGGGCTTCTGGGCCAGATTCCAGCCCTGGCTCTACCCTTTCTGGAGGCTGTTTCTGCGGTTCCTGATCCCCAATCTGGGTCCTCCTGGGCCTGGGCCATCTTTTTTATTCCTAATCTTTTCCCCCTGTGGCATTTTCTGAGCTTTTAACAACCACTTAGTCTTAGTATTTTTTGAAAGCCTTTTAGGATTTCATTATATCCTTCTTCAATTTTGTTATGTTGATTTCAGTTCTGAGGCTTTCAGAATATTCGTGAAGACCAAGCACATTAGCTAACAATGGTAATAGCTTTTCTGCAGTTAAATCCCTGCAGGGAGGGCTGGTGGTTGAGGTTGTTTCCCAGTGCTGCTCTTGCATAACTCCTGTTGCCTCACGGAAATGGCAATCATAAGGGCTGGTAGGTTTTCATTTTCTTAGCGAGTGACTTAACTACCCAATCATATGTAAGTGCTCCGTGGTACCCACGGGAAGGGATACTGTGCACTGCATCAGTGGCCATTTGGGTGTAAGTACCAGCCGTATACTGGCTTTCAGTCATTCTAGGTAGAAGCAGCAGGCACACACTTTGGGGGAATTTTGCTTTTTGAGTCAGTGTAACACAATGGATAGGAGTGTAGCCTGGCATTAGACAGATCAGGATTGGGCCCCGCTTCTGCCCTTCACTAACTGTTCGTAACTTTGGCCAAATTACCCAGCGCCTGTCCGCCTTAGTTGTCTCATCACTTAAGTAGAGGTAATGACAGGATCACTGTGAGGTATCAGTGAGACAAAGGGGGTGAATCCTAGCACCTGGCATGTAGTAAGTGTCTTAATAGGAATTAGCTATTTTTATGCTTATAACTATATTTCTTTTCTCTTCAGTGCTACTATTTTTGTTTGTTAATCTTCACCTGAGGATATTTTTTCCCCATTGATTGAGTGAAAGGGAAGGAGAAGAGAGAGAGAGAGAGAGAGAGAGAGAGAGAGACATCAATTGGTTGCCTCCATGACGGGGCGCGGGATTGAACCTGCAATCCAGGTATGTGCCTTTGACCTGGAATAAAACCTGAGACCCTTTTGTGCTTAGGCCAGTGCTCTAACCACTGAGAACACCGACCAAGACAGTATCACCGTTGTAATATATATTTATATTTTTATACTTAGCATATTAAAGAACATTTCCCCCCATTTTTAGAGTCCCTCTGGGTGTGTTTTGGTCCTTGTTCCTGGGCTGGGTCTGGTTACGGTTGCTTGAAGTGCCTGATCCTAATGTCGTCCCCCACTATGGAACTGGAGTGGTGGTGTTTGGTCTCTCAGCTGTGGTGGAACTTCTGGGAGAGCCCTTCTGGGTCTTGGCACAAGCACACATGTTTGTCAAGCTCAAGGTCAGTATGCCTTCTGCTGTGAGTGGGATGTG